TAAACATTTAAGAGCAATACTTATTTTTAGCCGCGGGCGCCTGTCTCGGTCTTTAAGGGTTAAAACCGTTGATATGCAATTGTTCATGGTATGATAATCGTGCACGTTCAAATCGTGGTAAACCGCCATACCGGTATATTGTTACAACCCTAGCCCTGAGTGATTACAATAAACAATTTTTTCTTTCAAAAATCAATGTCTGAAAAATAGTTTATTTTTATTTACGGAATTCTTTTATTATGAAAGAAACACAAAAAAAAGTTGATTTATGAATTTCACAGTTATATATTATTATTTTTCTTCTGTATATTAGTCCACTTTATTTTAGACGAGGGTCAGAATGACACGAGATTATTCAGAGACAGAGTAAAAATTACAAGAAAGATGGCAACAACATGATATGATTTTCACACTCAGGTTGGTTTGCCTATTAGTGAAATCTGTTTTATTTGCCAGTGGAAACCCTTCAAAAGTGGGAGTAAAATCTATGTTTTGTGTGTGTTTTATGTAAAGTGTACATGATCAAAAAATATTTAAGATGTCTTTATATTATTTTGGAATTTAACTGCTGAGCTCATATGTGTGCTAGGCGACATTATAGTTACCTGTGTATAGTCCTCTTAAAAAATCTTATTTATTTAGTAAATGATTAGTTAACCTGTTTGCTATTATTGCTTATAATTTGTATTTGTAGTACATTTGGACTATAACTCGTAGTGCAGTCTTTGTAAAACTTGCATTTGATTATAGTTTAGGATGCTCGTTGTAGATTCATTCTGATAACTTTAAATAAACATGTAAAAAATAAATAAACAAATAAGATGTGTATATTCTGAAACCCGGTTGTTTGTTTGTTCTGTTCCTCAAAAACTAACGTTACAAACAAAATCTAGCACAATGATTGCATGGAGTTTCCATTGTGAAGTTTATGAACACCTTTTCCAAAGTTTTTTATTGTTCAACAGCCCAGAACAAAGAACACACACTACACATACATATGATGCATGTTACATATTCAAACACCTGTCACACAAAGAAAATGTGTATGGAAATTAAGGTTGTGGTACCTAATTTACTCATTTATCCTAATTTTAGATGTTGCCAGTAGGGATGTAACGGTATTGTAAATACCGTCATACCGCAATATTAATTTTTTTCGATATTACCGTAGTCGCATGACTCGGTAAAACTATAGGTCTTCTGAGAAAATTTGCTCAGGCTAATGAAGCCTTTGGGAGGTAGCGGAAACTACAATTCCCATCAGCCCAGGCTTTGCCATCATCCCTTGCGGTATGTTGTCGCTACAGATCCAGTAATGCGGAAATGGAGTGGGCATCAAAAAGATGTACGCGCGCGTACTGTAAAGCGGGGAGGGGGGGTTGAGCGCACATACTCAAGAGCGGTGTTGTCGCGCGCCTACTGAAGGGCGGGACGGAGGGTGTGACACAGCACACTGTTCAGATTGATACAGACATGAGACCTCTATCTCCCTCATGGCTTGTCCTCTCAAGTGGGGGAAAGACAATGCACAACGTTACCCACTGCTGTCAACCTGGGCCAAGTCATATCTCTGTCCCAGAAACCTCAGTCCCAAATGAGAGGGTTTTTTTCTGTTGCAGGGGACATTGTAAATACCCAGAGATACCAGCTTTTACCAGATTATATTTATATGATAATTTTCCTTTAAACCCATCTCTATCTAAGTGAGTGAGTGATTAAATGTTAAATGTGATGAGTTTTCAACAATACTAAATTGAAACTTTATTTTTTTACATGGTTTAATAATTTTTTGTTATTAAAATTGAAGTTCCTGTTTCAAAGCTTACAGATAGATGGCTAATTTGTATGCCATTGACACTTTTGGCCCTTTTTTGGAGTATTTTCATAAGTTTTGTTTTTTCCTGTAAATGATTCAATAAATACCGTACCGTGACATTCATACCGAGGTATTACCGTACCGTGAAATTCTGATACCGTTACATCCCTACACTATAAAAAGCCATAGATCAGTGCATACGTGTTTCAGCCGATGAGCAGGCTTTGGAGAGAGAGAAAAAAAGGGCAGTGAAAAGAAGAACAGTGCAGAATGATGAAATGAGGTGAGGAGGAAGACAGCAGATATTCTGGCACTGGTGTGATGTTCTGCACTCCTCAATTATCCCCCATAAGACCTGGACAACTACAGAACTACAGAGATCTGCACTCCAGGACATAATCAAACCACCAGTGGCCGTCCTGGCCAAAGTAAACGGCCAACAGTGATCAGGCAGGCTGTGCATCATTTATAATTAGCCTAGTCAGGGTGTGAACTCCACTACCTGAGCAGCTGACTACTGTTCAGTGTTACAGCAGTGTTTAAAATTAGAGTTTGTAATTACTTTCAAGCCTAGTCAAGTTGAGCTTCATGGTCATTCTGCTACATATGTGGAAATAAAGGCAGTGGCGTAGCGGACAGGCCTGC